GATCCATTTATCGAAAGCACTAAGGCTTTATCCATTGATTTGATCATATTAAAACCCAATATGACCTAAAGTTAAGCCTATTTGTAATAAGAACGCGCTTTAAACTTTAATCATCAAGAATTTTATTTATAAAATTCTGAATATCTGTCCATTGCAATAAGACCCAAAATTAGAGCGCTTTCGAATAGTTGAGTATTCTTTTTCAGGAGAACAAAGGGTGACCTTTAGCCTGCGCAATGCAATATATAGTAGGACGTGTGACGTCATGTAAACCGGAAGTACAAGTTGAGTTGAATCATGGTGACCAGCCAATCCCAACTCAAGCCGTTAGAGAGGGAAAAAAACAAAAAAAATATTATTAATTTTCATTATGAATGAAACTTTTGACTGATAAAGAAAAATAAGCTATGTCAATGTTTTCATGGGAGACTTAGAGTCGAGACTGTTGGAAAGTTATAAAGAGAAACCAAACATTTGGAAACGATACATAGATGACATTTTTTTTTTTTCATTTGGGTAGGAGACGAAGACTCCTTACTATCTTTCTATGGACATGCAAACTGTTTCCACACTTCTATTAAATTTACTCTAGATTACGCCACTACTCAAATAAGTTTTTTAAGATGTAAACCTGACATTAAAAGATGGTTTTCTACATACTGATCTGTACCGTAAACCGACTGATAGACCACAATACTTATATTTTCAAAGCTGTCACCCTCCATACGCAGTTCTCCAAAAATGTGACAGCATCTGTGATGTTCACTACTCTCGACATGGTGTGAAACAAAACTACAGTTCTCCAATAGTGTGATAGCATCTGTGATGTCCACTACTCTCGACATGGTGTGAAACAAAACTACAGTTCTCCAAAAGTGTGATAGCAACTGTGATGTCCACTACTCTCGACATGGTGTGAAACAAAACTACAGCTCTCCAACAGTGTGATAGCATGTGTGATGACCACTACTCTCGACATGGTGTGAAACAAACCTACAGTTCTCCAACAGTGTGACAGCAACTGTGATGACCACTACTCTCGACATGGTGTGAAACAAAACTACAGTTCTCCAACAGTGTGACAGCATCTGTGATTACCACTACTCTCGACATGGTGTGAAACAAACCTACAGTTCTCCAACAGTGTGATAGCAACTGTGATGTCCACTACTCTCGACATGGTGTGAAACAAAACTACAGTTCTCCAACAGTGTGATAGCATGTGTGATGACCACTACTCTCGACATGGTGTGAAACAAAACTACAGTTCTCCAACAGTGTGATAGCAACTGTGATGTCCACTACTCTCGACATGGTGTGAAGAGATGCTACTGTCTAGTTATGCTGAGAAGATAACCTCTGATGGTGTTTTAAAACAACATCAAACAGTACTACAGTTCCAGTTATGTCGGAATGGATTCTTCGTGCTGCGAGAAGAGCTGTGGAGAATGACCCACGTTAGGCAGCCACTGTTACTCCTATTCACTGTAAGAAACTGTGGTCTTCGGGAGCATACTACTTCGGAAAATATTACAATTACTGTGACAGTTTGGATTTAATTTTTATGCAGCGGAGACCAATATATTTGATGAAATTCCGAGAAAATTAGTATGAAATTGAGCAGTTTAATAATTTTACACGACCTTCTACCTTTTAGTTTAATAATATTTAATTCATATTTTAAACTCTGTCTCCGGTTATCCCTAGATTAATTTTAAAATCTGTATCTCTTTATAATAAACTCAATTCAAGTTGGGGAAAATGTAAACCTGCTGTTGTTATTGTTTATTAAGCACAAACATTACACAAAGGGCTATCTGTATTCTGCCCACCACTGGTATCGAAATCCGATTTCTATCATTATAAGACCGCAGACATTCCGCTGTGCGACGTGGGGGGGGGGGGCTTGTAAATTTGTCGTGCTTTATTGGTGGTATTGGTCCTAATGACGAAGGTGGGGACTTGTCCCGCTGTTCAAACAACTGTGTATTAGTTAATGCACGTATCTGTTAACTAGAACCGTAATGAAATTTTTGAAAGTTTACAACAAAAATTTTTCTAATTACAAGCACTTAAAGAACGGGCTGTCTCAAACATATTTATCTTGTAACTCAATACGTGTTATTTAAGCTCTCGGACAGCACACAATTCTGAGAGTGTTCATGGGCTTTAGATCGAATCTAGTACGTTTTATGTTATAAAATCACTGACTTTTTCTTTTACCGTACATGACACGTTTTGGCTAATTAGCTGATAAGTTTTTATTAATTAAACTCTTTTATAATTTAGACCCCCAGCTTTCTAATTAAAGCTAGTTGCCAAATCGGCAATGATCTCAATTGTGCTAATAAGAAAAGCGCTAATACCAGCGTCTTAGTTGCAGCAATAAATCATCTTCTGTGATTAAAGAAAGGTTAATTACGTTATAGCTGAAATGGAGAACATGATCGGAGATTATAACCCGCAGATTGCGAGTCGAGCGCCCTAGCCACCAGGCCATGCCAGGTCCTACCTTATAGTATAATGGTTTTGCAGCTTCACGACGTCCTGGCGTACTCTATCTGACGACCACACATCTTGACAATAGCCCTGCAGCGTAGTTTACAGTTCAAAAGGTTTCGTCGTAAGAATGTCACGTCCAAAGCACACCCCACCTCCGTTCTTGCTTTCCATAAGCTATCTAGTGTACAAGGTAGACGGTTTCCCAGCGCTCATTTCAACGGTACGGTCACATAGAAATCTATAAATACCCCTTTTTATTCTCCAGCTATTTGATATGTGCGACTGATGAATAACTATGTCATGGAAGCAGTTTGTGTCGCTTTTCCTAAAACAGATCCTGCTTCATTATGTTGCATACTGTTACCGGGGTCATGTGAACGGTTTTTGCCACTGACCTTTGTCTTCAGTGTATCACGTTTCGAACCATAGACCTTTCAACTTACAGCCTGAATCAAAATGCAAAGCTTATATTTTTAAGCCTACAACTAGGTACTCTAAAGAAAAGTAAACAAACAATGCTGAAAATAATGTCTACGTTATTTTCTCAAGCTACAAATCCCTATTTTGACTCCATGTCTACAGTACTTATCAATTTTAGTGGAGTCAAAATTGGGATATGTAACATGAGAAAATAATGTAGACACTATTTCCAGCGTAGTTTGTTGATCTTTTTTAGAGTCCCTAGTTGTAGCCTTGAATATATAATCTTTGCATTTTGATTCAATTGTTTCTGTACTTTTTTGACGATCCCTATACCCCTTTTTAAATTAACAATTTTTTATTATCTAGTTTCTTAAGGTTTATATGCCCACTTATTGAGAATACATTTTAAGCTACATACGTGCATATGGGTTCAGTTGAATGTTACATGCTTTTCAACAGTTTACTGCTGTATTGACTTTTTTCAACCAACCATCTACTGAGCCAGATGGTTTTGTGCCTGAGGTTTCGTGTAAACTCGTGTTTAACAAATGTTGAGTAAAACGGAAGCCGCTCACAACAACATCGCGTATATTATGTAAATTCATGATTAATAAAAGGTTATTTTAGGACATGAAAAGTTGCTTCCCTTATATGTAATTGTAAACAAAAAAAAACACGCAAAAACGTCCATAAAAAAAGAGCAAAAGACAAAATGTGAAACCGCAAGGTTGCATGTATCTCCACATGGACTCAACAAATCTTCATACCAACCCCTTGGACCTAATGAATCTCCATACTAATTTCAGTGAAGATCCATCCACACCCTGCGAAGTAGTTACATGAACAGATGACAGACAGTACTATTATATTTATAAGTCAACTTTGAATGAAAAATAATCAATTTTTTTAAATAGGTCATAGACATTCGCAGGGTTTCGTATAGTATATCTATCTTGGTTTTGGTGCAAAATACCCAGCCGGTTTTGCTGTAGGCTTGCGAAACAAAAATATGAATAGTAATAATAAAATAATACTAAAGTACACATTCACAATTTCACTGAAATAATCGCTGAAAACCATGTAGAGACAAAGTACATCAGCTAACTCGAGAAATGATGAATTCTCAACGCGGTAATTCCCAATTAATGTGCATTTCTGAAACACCGGATTTTTTTTCAATGGCGGAAAATGAAAGATTTAGAGAAATTCTTCAGGGAGAAAAAAAAACGAAGGTGTTTGAATTAATTTTAAATCTATCCTATGACATACTCATTCATTACTATTGTGGCGGCTTGTAAAACTATAATCAATAATAGTAAAGCTTGAGACATTGTTATGAATATACACATTGTTTACTCTAATAAAATGAAGCGTTTTAGACTAGTATAAAACGAGAATTTTCGACGTGCTTAAATGGCTTCGAAGAGCTTATGTTGGTAGCAAAGAAGAACTTAGCAAATTTTAAAGGGTGTTAATCTGAACTTTCAAGAACCAACTTAAAAAAAGCCTAGAACGTTCGCAGGAGTTTGTTTAGTAGCTGTGCATAGATTTTGGCGCAGTATACCTAGCCGTTTTTGCTGTAAGCTTTGAAGAGAAACTTGGGCAGTAGCGATGGAAATACTGATAAAATATCTTCTTCTCTTTCAAGAATCAACATAAAAATAGTCCTGTAACCTGTGCAGGAGTTTGTTTAGTAGCTGTGCATAGATTTCGGCGCAATATACCAGGCCATTTTTGCTGTAAGCCTTGAAGAGAAACTTGGGTAGTAGCGATGGAAATACTGATAAAATATATTCTTCTCTTTCAAGAATCAACATAAAAATATGTAACCTGTGCAGGAGTTTGTTTAATAGGTTTATTCGGGTTTGAATAAAATATTCATAGCCGTTTTTTCTGAAGGCTTGTGAAAGAAGAAGAATATGGATAATACTAATATGAAGAACATATGGATGAATTTTGAATTTTGTCTAACAATCGGAAAATCAACTTTTTTGCTGTTATCAATATTTCAGCAGCCTTAGCCATTGAGTTGGAAGTTCTTGAGAGTTGTTTCAAGAACAAGTCTGCTTTTTAAGATGGTTTCTGGCCGTATGTTCTTTTATAATTTTTGTAAAATTCCTGGGCGAATCCTATTATGAACCACTAACGTGGTTCATGACTCTCGACCAACAAGGAAACTGCCCTATAAACTTCCGGAATACTTAAGTTCAAGATATCTTGTTTATACCATTTAACCCATTTCTAGCTTCAAAGGGGCACTGGCTGCTCAAATCGATGGGTCGAACTTGCTGACAGCTGCTTCAACGACTGTCGAAAACACTGTAATTCTAATTGAAAATGGAACCTTTATCTTGCAAGTGTAAGATGCTTAGAATCCTGTCATTGTGGTTGTGTTTGTTTGTAGTTAAGCATAAAGCTACACAAAGGGCTATCCGTGCTCTGCCCACCACGAGTATCGAAACCTGGTTTCTAGCATTGTAAGTCCACAGACATATCGCTGTGCCACTTGGGGGCAATTGTGGTTGTGAAGGTGATGGATTATCAACTTCTGCTACATTGAGCCGGAAACTTGGGGGGGAGGGAGGCAACCAAAAAGTGTATTGGCAATTACTAATAATGCATTAGAAGGAAACAACCACGGCCAGGTTACAATGAGAAGATTGTAAATGACGATATAGGTTTTATTGATGATGAAGTTTTGACTCTAATTGCAGATAGTGATGATGACAAAGATAATTAATACGTCACAAAAGATTGCAAAAATGTAAAGCAAGTCTCACAATTATCTTCGGCATTTCAATACTAAAGGAAACTTGCTTTATTACTTTGAATTTTACGTTCCAACTGATACTAGTGGTAGTCCAACTGATACAAATTGTAGTCCAACTGATACTAATAGCAGTCCAACTGATACTAGTGGTATTCCAACTGATACTAGTGGTAGTCCAACTGATACTAATGGTAGTCCAACTGATACTAGTGGTATTCCAACTGATACTAGTGGTAGTCCAACTGATACTAGGGGTAGTCCAAGTGATACTAATGGTAGTCCAACTGATACTAGTGGTATTCCAACTGATACTAGTGGTATTCCAACTGATACTAATGGTAGTCCAACTGATGCAAGTTGTGGTCCAACTGATACTAGTGGTAGTCCAACTGATGCTAGTGGTAGTCCAACTGATACTAGTGGTATTCCAACTGATACTAGTGGTATTCCAACTGATACTAATGGTAGTCCAACTGATGCAAGTTGTGGTCCAACTGATACTAGTGGTAGTCCAACTGATACTAATGGTAGTCCAACTGATAAAGTTATACAGTTTAAGGAATTACGACGATTGCAACTCTTTAGCACAGAAACCAAAGAAATCATGTCCGGTAATAAGTTCAAGAAATATATAATTGAATCAACACTTTTTGCTGCATTCTATACAGTGAAGGGTGTTATTAGCTCCATTGTGTGGTCCACTATAAAATGATGAAGTTTTCTGTTTGTGTAAAATCCATACCAAAACCCAATAGACCACCTGGTGTTTTATCTTGATAAAGAATCTTGTAAAGGCATTCCAAATGGGGCTGTTTATAATTGTAGTGCTCGCTATATTATGCATAAGCTTAATATATAGCTAATATTCGTTGATACATCGAACTTTATGTAGCCATATCTTCATCTATGCTTAATATTTTATCCCCCGATGGAACAGCAGTAAGTCTGCGGATTCACAACGCTAAAATCCGGAGTTCGATTCCCCGCGGTGGACACAGCAGATAGTCCAATATGGCTTTGCTCTAGAACAAACTAATAAAGAATTCAATCAAGTTACCCCCCCCCCCCGGTGGGACAGTGGTAAGTATACCGACGTACAACACAAAATCCGGGGTTCGACTTCCAGCGGTGTACACAGTAGATAGTCCAATATCACTTAATATTTTTCTCAAAAGAGAAGTGTGTAATCCTTGTCATATGCACTTTCGTTTATTACCATTTCCGCAATCGAATTCCAAGATCGATTTTTTTGTGATCTTCCCCTGATTCATGATGTTACCCAAGTTGCTCGTACGAATTATGACGTATATCTACACACAAAGGGCTCTCTGCGTAGAGCCTTTCTTAATTTTGAACTTTTGTCTAACAGGGTAGCGGGATCTAAAGGTTACTCTTACAGTGCACCCACGAACTCAGAATGCGGAACGAGTTTTTGCGGCAACGGGTCACGAACCTGGAATCCTCAGACGCTCAGATACAGCACCATAACCACTAGTTAACAATACTGTGTACTGTCAATAAGAAAACACAATATTTAACAATACTGTGTACTGTTTGTCCCATGTTGAAATAAAAAACAGACTCTTTGTCTACTGAGTTGAAAATATGGACTTTTACTGTATAGTTACTCATAGATAGCAATATGAAAAACAAACTCTGACTTTCAGACTTGTTTTAGCGCACTCTATTCATCACTGATCATCTAACCTCGGATTTTACTGTTCTAATTACGTAAACTTACCGTTGACCAACTAGGAAACACAGACACGAATACCATAAAACAGAACTTAACAACTTTGGGTTTACACCACGTGACTCACAAGATATCTATTTAGCATAGTGTAATTTTGTCCTACAAATTTGACGACTAAATTCGTGATGAAAAAAATAATTCTTTATATATCGCTCTTATATCTTATACCTAATATATTTTCCATTATTTTTCAATAAAATTCAAAATGAACACAATGTCAGAAGTTCAAGTATGTTCACTCTAACTTTGAATTTCTGTAATTTTCAAGATGAACACAATGTCAGAAGTTCAAGTATGTTCACTCTAACTTTGAACTTCTGTAATTTTCAAGATGAACACAACGTCTGAAGTTCCAGTATGTTCACTCTAACTTTGAACTTCTGTAATTTTCAAGATGAACACAACGTCTGAAGTTCCAGTATGTTCACTCTAACTTTGAACTTCTGTAATTTTCAAGATGAACACAACTCTAACTTTGAACTTCTGTAATTTTCAAGATGAACACAACGTCTGAAGTTCCAGTATGTTCACTCTAACTTTGAACTTCTGTAATTTTCAAGATGAACACAACGTCTGAAGTTCCAGTATGTTCACTCTAACTTTGAACTTCTGACCAGAAAGAGAAACGGCCAGCCATGACATCCACATCTCTTTGAACCGAATAACCGGCTCTTACTGTTATAACACACCCATAGTTAAGAGCACGGAACGTGTTGAGTGGCATCACGTCTCGAACCTTGAGCCTATCAACGGTAACTAATAGGTCAAGTATTTCAAGCGACGAATAACGCCCTTACCATAATCGTAACAAGATCGTGTTCTTTTTCCTTCTATGCGAAAGCACGATAAATGTAAAACAGTTAAATTTAATTTTAGAAGCATTTATTTCTTTACGAACCAACACGAATGGCCTATTAACACAAAAACTTCTAACACACCTCCGTGTTAACAGGAATTTTTTAGCTGTTAATTAACAGATAACTTTTCTACATCAAGTTGAGCCACGGAAGGACAGAATTACAAGCACGTTCGGGTCATTATTTCATTTTATCAGCTCTGTCCCGGAAGCATTATTTTTTTTTTTTTGTTTTGTAATTGCCTTATAAATTTACTCACCCAATGGGAGAAATTTAGTTTGAAAATTACTATCCCAACAGTAAAAGGAGTAAAAAGAAACGATAAGAACGTATTAACCGTTAAAGAAGTCGTTAAAAAAGAGAGTTTGTAAGTAATTACTTTGGTATCGTATTAATGGATCATAATTCAATCACGCGAAAAGGCGTCGATTGAAATATGGTAACAAAAAAAAAAAAAGGTTTCACGCTAGGCCTACTTTGCTATCTCTGATGTACTGTTGCAATCCCTTTGCTAATCTCTGCGCATGTCTGTTTATGTTAGCAAGTGTCCGCGTAATAAAAAAAAAAAAGTCTTCTAAGCTTTCAGTCTATGTTAGCCAGTAATTAGTGTCATTAAGTAGTTGTTGTTTTTTTATTGGTGTTGGTGCAAGTACCAACATAGCACTTACATATCTCACCGTCATCTTTCAGTGTTACTAGTATCTTGTTTGGCTGTAAAAAAAAAAAAGGATAAACAGGAATTCCAGAGAGAACGGTATGGTAGCAAGTGGATTGCTTGCCTTAGTGATATGTGACGTCAAATACGTGACGCAAACCTCGTGACTTAAAATTAAATAACCTTTAGAAATCCACAAAAGCTTGAACGTTAGTTTGATCAGCACAAACCAGTAATTCAAATTATATACACACACACACATATGAAAGATTGAAAACTTTAATGGTCATATGTATAGAGAGCATCTTCACTTATTGCTAATTATGTGGTACATCCTTATTCTACCTGAAGCCCCTTAATTCGAATAATAAAACCTCCCTACCATATTTAAACCTGCACGATAAGTTACAGTAAACTAGTTTCTTTACATTTTAATACGTAATATACTGTCGAATCAAACCTAATTAGTGAATCATTTAGTAAATGAAGTATTTAACGACAATTCAAGCTAAATCGGGACTGAAACAAAACGGTAAACACTGCAAGGGTGCGCCCGGTTTATCTTGACGTCATCATATACAATGGCCAGTAAGTGTGATCATTATTAGAAAAGAAGTCACACGCTTGATGATAGGCCGCCAAAATTTATCATTTAATTATTTCTATCAAACTCAGTTTTATACCTGGCCGAAAAATTACTTCATGTGAATCATTTGAACAGAAAATGGGATGTTATATTTATTCTACATAGGGAGGAATACATCTTGAGTTAATTGTGTGTGTTAGTATCGTACATCAACTAAACACACAGTGTTTTAACTAGACATTCTCGATTATGAAAAATGTGGTGATTATAGAAACACAAGATTAAGTTAGCCCTATTAATTACACACAAAAAATAACTTTCATTAATCAACACGAAGCGTTAATACTTACCTTTTTAATAACCATCTCATTATGATGTGTGTGTTTCCTGTTAATGTAATTAACGTGCTGGCTTGTCTCATTCTACAAGATGACGTCACAGTTAACCAGGCGAAACGTTGAGGTGTTTTTTTGTTTTTTTTTGTCTCTATCCCGTTTTAGCTCTTGTAAAAACTATTTTAATTAAAGCCCAATGTATTTCATTTCTGCACTAAGCGTTACCTTTAGAGTATCGACCATAGAGTAATAAAACTTCCCATAGGTTTAGCTTTATTATATCTCATGGAAGGAGGGAGGGAAGGTTTATACAGATGTTGTTTTTCATTTCTGTGATCAACTAAAAGAGACAGCGGAAGGTTTCACTATCGTGCAAGTTCTTATCTGTCCATAGGTTTAGTTTTACTATACTTTATGGGAGGAGGGAGGGAAGGTTTATACAGATGTTGTTTTTCATTTCTGTGATCAACTAAAAGAGACAACGGAAGGTTTCACTATCGTGCAAGTTCTTATCTGTCCATAGGTTTAGTTTTACTATACTTTATGGGAGGAGGGAGGGAAGGTTTCACTATCGTGCAAGTTCTTATCTGTCCATAGGTTTAGTTTTACTATACCTTATGGAAGGAGGGAGGGAAGGTTTCTACAGATGTTGTTTTTCATTTCTGTGATCAACCAAAAGAGACAGCGGACGGTTTCACTATCGTGCAAGTTCTTATCTGTCCATAGGTTTAGTTTTACTATACTTTATGGGAGGAGGGAGGGAAGGTTTATACAGATGTTGTTTTTCATTTCTGTGATCAACTAAAAGAGACAGCTGAAGGTTATCTGTCCATAAGTTTGTCACAATCCATCTTATTCTTCAGTTGTCTAAAGTACAGTTGACCTTATCTCTCTGTTGGTTTAATCACAATTTAATCTATTTCGGCTCTCTTTTGTGTCGAGCGTTGCTTAGTTGTTAAGGTTCCAGGTTTAGATTGTAAGGTCCAAAGTTAGAGTCACGATATGTTGCTGAACCCTTATACTTTTACCCATGCAAGCGTTACAGTTGTTACAGTAAATTTCGCTAATCTGTTAAGAGTAGCCACATAACAAGAGGGGGGGGGCTGCTGACAGGTTGCCCCCCTCCCTCCTCGACCTTCCATTCTAACTGACTCTGCCTGATCTTTGCTAGTTTTCTAACCTTGTCTTTTAACCCCTACACGTGTATTGTATAAGGTGTTTTTCGGTCCAAAAAATACCAAAGACATATAATATTCAAACTGAAAACAGAAGATTCTAAATTAATTATTTTTATAGTTCATTAAACGTTTCATTAAAATTATCCAGTATCTTACACCGTTATATGTCCATTTGCAACACTTATGACACTATAATCGGGGTTCGATCCCCATAACAGACAACTAAAGCTCAAGCTAATCGGTACTTTTTAAGAAAAACTCTTTCTTCAGCTTCTTCTGACTTATATATCTAACGTAGAGTCTTAAATTACTTTATTAGAAAAAAACAACAACAACGAATCTCCTTAA